TACGGCAAACAGCATGACAGACCAGCATGTCTACTGCTAGTACCATAGCTCTGTTGAACCGTCCATCCCACCGACTCTTAGCAGTAAAGATTTTATGGGAGTCTTTATAAATAGGATTGATCTTATTAAAAATAAGATCATTAGCACTCATCTAACTAGGAAGGTGAGGCAGGATCAGAGGTAACCATAGAATCTGAACTGGGTTTACACTGCTTTGATCCAGTTGAACCTTCAGAGTTATCAAACCTATTGTCTTCATCTTAGCCTTCAACTTGTATTTTAGATCCAGTTCCAACCAGGTTATTTAAGGAAGTACTCCCTTTGATCTCCTCCTCCATTTTAGGTGTGATTAACATATCCCTGTTACAGGAATATGTACCTCAGGCTTTTAAGGTAGCTGTATCTAAACTTTTACTTAAGAAGCCGTCTCTTGCCCAAGAGGAGATGGTCAACTATTGACCTATATTTAATCTTCGATTCTTATCTAAAATTCTTAAGAAAAAAGTTGCTAAACAAGTGTGTGATCACTACACCACTATAAACGTTTTATTCAATCTGGTTGTAGAGCTCTTCATTGCACTGAAACATCCAACATGGGAACTGGCTCTGAACTCCTTTGCTTGGATGTTTGTTTACTGGACGGGGCCACAAGTGGAGCTCGTTTACAGCTAATTTTGCATCTCTGATATTTTTTGCATGTCAGCTTTCATCTTCTTGACTCCCAGTCAGTCTCAGCAGATGGCCGCTCACACTGGGCCTGGTTCTGCTGGAGGTCTCTTCCTGTTAAAGGAGAATTCCGTTTTTTTACACTTTAAGCCCATTTTCTGTAGTGTCCAGGATGAAATCGAATGATCGACACCAAAAGTTTGACAATTGCTCCTGTCTCTGCTTTTTGGCTCATTTAGAATCCACCCCTGACTGCTTCATAATGGCTGCCATAGTGCATGTCCGATAATGTCCTTAAAACAACCTTAAACGTTCTTTTTTTTAAATATGCTACTCACCGTGTCGTCAGCGCTGTTCAATGACGTTCCAAAAAAAGTTTCGTGAAGAAAAAACGTTCCTGTAGTGTTTTATTTAGCATTTTGTAAATCCCATTGAGTTCTGTTGGAATAGTCAATATTCCCCTGCCACCAGAAACGGAAATGGGGCCTGTTTACACAGTTGTAGTCTTTTCGCTTCACTCTGTGTACTCCGACGTCGAGGTGCTAACGTCTCTGTTAAACACTTTAAAAAACTCTGAAAATGGAATACGAAAGGTGGATTCTTGATTCTCGACGTCGGAGTACACAGAGTGAAGCGAAAAGACTACAACTGTGTAAACAGGCCCCATTTCCGTTTCCGGTGGCAGGGGAATATTGACTATTCCAACAGAACTCAATGGGATTTATAAAATGCTAAATAAAACACTACAGGAACGTTTTTTCGTCACGAAACTTTTTTTGGAACGTCATTGAACAGCGCTGACGACACGGTGAGTAGCATATTTAAAAAAAAGAATGTTTAAGGTTGTTTTAAGGACATTATCGGACATGCACTATGGAAGCCATTCTAAAGTAGCCAGGGGTGGATTCTAAATGAGCCAAAAAGCAGAGACAGGAGCAATTGTCAAACTTTTGGTGTCGATCATTCGATTACATCCTGGACACTACAGAAAATGGGCTTAAAGTGTAAAAAACCGGAATTCTCCTTTAAAGGGGAGTTTTTCCAACATGCATGCTTAGTGTGAATGACCGTCAAGCCAATTAGTTGATGCAATCAGCTGGTTTTCCTTAGATAAAAAACTTTAAACCAATCTGACTGTATGACCTGGTTGAAAGTGCCTTGAGATGACATGGTTGTGAATTGCGTAAATACAAACATAGCTTTATAAAACCAAACCACTATCTAAAGCCTCTCAGCAAAGAACAGTGTTAAGTCTGGTCCTAAAACTAGATAGAAGGCCTGCTTCATGGTTTCACAGGAGAGGGGGCCTATATAGAAATAAACTAAAATGCTGTGTTGTGAATTGGCACCATCTGTAAATTTAGCTTGCACATGAGCGTATAAAAAGCCCACATCAATGAAATGGAGATAAAGCGATTCACCAAGGCAACAGCAGGACAGAATTACAGCTCAATTTATGGCCACTCCCCCAAGGCAAAAGTAAGGAGAAAGATTTGTGGGAGGAGTCCTTTGAAGGATGCATCCTTTTCCAACTGAGGTTCCTATGGCCTCGGGGGGCGGGCACAAATTGAGATATTAAAGGGTTCCTGTAAAATAGAGAAAGATCCAAATATTTAAGTCTGATATTTAAGATTTTATATTTATTATATATAATTCAATTAAAAAAAACTTTGTTGATGCCAAAGATAATTAAATGTAGTAGCAACTCATTGGCTTTATTTTTAAACATTTGTTGATGTTTAATTAAAGCTTTCGACAGCAAGGCTTCTCTTTAGCATTTTCTCTTGCGCCGGATCGTTGGTGTTCATTGTTATCCATAATTTTACTCATTTTATGCAGAATTCCTCTTTGTGAAATAAACTCCAGATGATCTGGAGGAGTTCCTAGAACAGAACCAATGTTTTTGTTTGTCATGATCTTGGTACTAATGACTGGTTTGATTGTTCATTACGTTCACCTGCCTAGCTCCTCCCAGTTTTTCATTACCATTCATGTGTGTCACCTGCTCCAGGCAATCAAAACATAGACAGGAATGCTAGAGAACTCTCACCAAAGGCTTGAATAATCTGACACTGATGACTGGTTTGAAGGCTGGTTAAACAGGGGCTGAAGCAGGAGGATCAGAAGGACGGTAATGAGAACTGGGCGGAGATAGGCAGGTGAATGAAATGAGTAGTCAGACCAGTCATCAGCGCCAAGATCATGACGTCTCAAGTTAAGTTTTTCTATTCCACCAACCCAACTGAATCTCCCATGATGCTAATAGTATTCAACTTGTTCCTGTTTTTTCTGAAATCATCTCCCTTGTTTTGTTCACGTAAGGAAACAGATGAATATTTCCACAACGTTTCACAAAATGGTTCACCAGCTTGGCCTCTATGCTTCTTGTCTATCACTGATGCACCCAGTGAATGCAGAGCTGTGCAGACTAAAGGGAAAGCTGAGAGTACCATCCTCTGTGGTCTCTTTTATTAGACAGCTGACCCTACAGTCTCACAAAATGGGGTCTATTTGTCAGGTAGTCTTTGATCCATGTGATTGTTGATGCCTCCACCTGAGTTTTCTGAAGTTTCTGACAAAGTAAATCAGGCTGAATTTTGTTAAATGTACTGGAGAATTGAAAGAACAAGACCCAACAGAGCTGTCTACCTTGTCTAAATGACAGTGGATTGGTTGAAGAAGGTGTGCTCTCCTGCGGAACCAACTACCAGTTTTAGTCCATGAGGCAGACACCCTGTCTACTTTTAAGGGTAGGCTTAAAACTTTCCTTTTTGATAAAGCTTATAGTTAGAGTGGTTCAGGCTATCCTGAACTATCTCTATAATTATGCTGCTATGGGCTTAGACTTCTAGAGGACATAGGGACCCCTTTTTCATCATTCTGCTTAATTTTATCTCTATTCTCCCACTCTGCATAATCTGGTTCACTCCCTCTGCTTTTTCTCATAGTAGCTTCATCTGGTCTGTTCCTGTTTGGCCGTGACTCCATCCTGGAGAGAAATATCAGCTGTGCTGCTGCCATCTACACCTTTGTTTATAGATGTTGGAGATCGGCCTGTTTTTCAGTGTAGTCCTGTTTCTCTGACTGTGACTGGCTGGATGTGCTCTCTTCATCCTCTGACATGGGAGCTGTCTCGGAGCTCGTCTGCCTGGCTGTGTGTTTCCTGGATGGGGCCGCCTTTTATAGCTGCCTTTTGTATCTCTGCTTCTGTCTCCTTGAACCCCAGTCGGCCTCAGCAGATGGCCGCTCACACTGAGCCTGGTTCTGATGGAGGTTTCTTCCTGTTAAAAGGGAGTTTTTCCTCTCCACTGTCACTGCAAGCATGCTTAGTGTGAGGGATTGCTGAAGAGACAATGAGTCGATGCAATCAACTGGTTTTCCTTAGATAGAAAACTTTGAATCAGTTTGACTGGATGATCTGGTGAACTGTAAAGTGCCTTGAGATGACATGTTGGGAATTGGTGCTATATAAATAAACTGAGTTGAATTGATGGCATTTTAAACTCCAACTCCACAGCGATAATCAAACTCAGGTGAACCAACATAAGTCTCTTTAGGACTTTTATCATGTGGGAAGATGGCTCAACAGGTCTATAGTCATCAAGGACTGCTGGCTGAGTTTTTTTTAGTACTGGAAGAAGGCAGGAGGTTTTCCACATGACTGGAACATCTCGTGGGTCAGGCTAGGGTTGAAGAGGTGCTCTGCATGGAGCTGTTAATGCCATCTGGACAAGGTAGTTTCTCTAGATGCTTTTTCACTTGACTTTCAGACAGAGAGATGAAAAGCAGAACTTTTTGTGTGTTCATTGCATATATTTCTTGGTGGAACAATAACAAGCTGTAATTAATGATGTGATTCCCCAAACTTTTAAATTGAAGAAGGCCATCTTCACACTGCCAATATTCTATATGGCACAGGTACTAGTAACATAAAAATACTCCCATGTGAAAATTAGGCAGTGTTTGCTAAAAAAAATATGAAATTAGGATATTTTTCTTAAAGAAAATTTAAAAAGGATAAATTCCTTTGGAAAAGATCAAACATCAAACTCTGAAATACTTGTGCCAAAAGGTGAATAATGAAGGGTTTTGTTTATTACAATTTATTCTTTTGCTTTTTGCAAAATAATAAATTTTGTATAATTTCTAAGTTTAATTTTTCTAAGCAATTTAATCTTTTGGGTACTGAAAAGGGAAGACAAAAAAAGAACAAATCTAAGGAGATGAACTTTGTGTCTGCCCCACAGAGGCAACAGCAGATAATGAGTTTGTTGCGCTGTGATTGGCTGACGGTTGTTATAAATACCAACTCACTGCAGAAGTTATGCAGAGCAGTAGCTTCTGGGGTATTGGACGGCTGCTCCTTTGATTGCACTGAGGAGGCATGGAAATGACCTGTGGACTTGGTTTCAAGTGAGTCTTTATAATTGCTTTTAAACTCAAGCATACAGACGGGGGTTTTCATTCTGGTATTTATTCTTTTTTATGTGTTTCCTTTAACAGGATCTTGCTGATTTGCTTAGTTCAAGCACACCTCCTATGTTTTTCCTGGGCAAAAAATGGTAAGAATCACAAATAAAGGCACCTGTTGACTTCATTCCTCAATATGCTTTACTAAATGTCTTTCTTTGTGTCTCTGTCCTGCAGCACCAACTCTCCAACGCATCAAAAGAACAACTAGAGGCGTCCTTCTCCCAGATGGTAGAACGAGCAGCGACATGAAGACTATACAGGGTCAAAGGGATCACTACTCCTTCAGGCCACCTTATCAGTCCGCAGAGCTGGCACCTTCCCTCAAGAAGCAAAGAAACCCAGCCACCTTGTTCAAACCAGTTGGTTCTGGCCCAAGTAGCTCTGTCAGGATGCAGACGTATGCTCAAGCCCCTGGCAGAAGGGTTACACCTAAAGATTCCAAGACCAAGAGGAACCCTTTTTTCAGCCCACAGGCTGCTTTAAATAGTAAAGATTTCAGATCGAGGAATCAGATGCAGCTCAGTCGCCAGACTCTCACCAAAACCAGCAGAGTAGAAGATTCTGCTCCAGGGTTTGCTCCGGTAATGATACATGAGATCCCAGAACTCTTAGGTGGGTCTCCAATCAGACGACTGAAATCCCCCACTGACCAGAAGGTTAATGCCCAGAAACCACAGAATGTCCAAACACCTCCTCAGAGGAAAAACCTTTACAAACCGAACCTTTCAAGCTTTCAGTCGGGATCTGATGGAACCAGGCAGAATCAGAACCAAGGGTCTGTCCAGAAACCCCAACAGGCCCAAACACCTCCTCAGAGGGTACCACTTTACAAACCCAACCTTTCAAGCTTTCAGTCGGGATCTGACAGAAACAGGCAGAATCAGAACCAAGGGTCTCTCCAGAAGCTCCAGCAGGTCCAAACACCTCCTCAGAGGAAAAACCTTTACAAACCCAATCTAACAAGCTTTCAGTCCGGATCTGATAGAACCAGGCAGAATCAGAACCAAGGGTCTCTCCAGAAGCTCCAGCAGGTCCAAACACCTCCTCAGAGGGTACCACTTTACAAACCCAAGCTTACAAGCTTTCAGTCGGGATCTGACAGAAACAGGGAGAAGCAGAACCAAGGGTCTCTCCAGAAGCTCCAGCAGGTCCAAACACCTCCTCAGAGGAAAAACCTTTACAAACCCAATCTAACAAGCTTTCAGTCGGGATCTGATAGAACCAGACAGAATCAGAACCAAGGGTCTGTCCAGAAGCCCCAACAGGTCCAAACACCTCCTCAGAGGGTACCGCTTTACAAACCCAAGCTTACAAGCTTTCAGTCGGGATCTGACAGAAACAGGGAAAAGGAGAACCAAGGGTCTGTCCAGAAACCCAAGCAGGGCCAACCTTTTCGGTTTGTACCAAACAACAATCAGGACCCCAGTATCCAGCATCCAGCATCCAAATGGACCAGAGTGAAGCTGCCGCATCAGAGACTCTAGCAACACTGTCTTTAATTTAAAAAGTAGCATGTTGAAATAAATTCATTTTCTAAAATTTCTTTGTCCTGATTGGTCCATGCCTCCTTTTTGCTTTACAATCCAGTCAAATTTAAGAACAATAACAAATTAAAGTTTTGGCAACAAATACTAAACCTGATGGATACACGAATTCAGGTTCTGTTTAACTGGTTCTCTTATAGCAGAGATATCTTATTCCTTTTTAATGGGTCATTTTGTATAGCCTTTAGCGCTGCTGCATCAACTATGAGACAAATAATCAGGTTATTAGTTAGTGTTTGGCTCAGGACTCAGATCACATGCTAAAAGCAATACAGGCTAAATTTAGCTATATTTATCAAGCTGCACTATAATAATAATTGATTAATTCTGTAAAAATAAGTTCAATTTAATAAGGCTCTAAAACTTGATCAGATTCATGAGTGTTTTCATAATGTCTGTTTTAAAGTGACTTAAACATCTTTGTTTAACACGTCACCATGTGAGAAGCTTATTTTGTATTCCATCAGTGCAGCATGAGATGAGAAACTTCTGTTGTACCACTTTAAGGACAAACTAGAAAATTAAAGTAGTCTTTTTGTCACCTAAGGTCCCACAAAGGAATAAATTCCTGGTAAAACAACGAAACAAATGACCATCCATACTATCAACCCATTAAGGCTTGCAGAGCTCGTGAGGCTTAGGAGGGTCTGCCGTCAGTGTTTGATAGAAAAGAGGAAAACTGTCACACTTTCAGACTAATGAACTGTAGAAAACTGTTCTCAGAAAATACGTATGGGAAAAAGCTAAGTGAAAAGCCAACATCTAAAGGAAATATTAAAGAATTTGTGTGCTGACAGAAAGCAATATGTTGACATAAAATTTTTAAAGATGATCCTATTTCCAGAAAAACTCAAATGCTCTTTTTTATTGTATTTTTAATGAGTGTAAGCAAAATATACAAAAAGACATGAAAACATGAATAAAAGAGAAATAAACACTTAAAGGTGTTTAAATAAACATCATATATCTGCATATACTACATTGATCAATGAAATGAACACATGGAAGGTTTGAGACAGAAAAGACCAGATTAAAGTAAATAAAGAAGTAAAAGATAAAACAATTTCAGCGATTCAACATAAAAGCTCACAGATACCCCTTTCCCACTGAACAAATAACCCATTTAAACCACTACTGAGCATTTTTCCTTTGGATAAACTTTACATGCACAAGTGCACTCTCACAAACAAGTGCTTGATTCCAGGTACTTAGAGATTCACTTCCATACAGAAAGCCCATATTCTTATCTTCAGCTACCACAGTATACATGTCAGATTAAATAATACTACTTAAACTTCAGGGATAGTACCAAGGTGCTACTTTATTGTATCTCTTATACTATACCCGTTGGTTGTGCTCTTCTTTTTACATATCTCTTAGCTGGTTCTGCTCTCTCTGCTTTTTCTCATAGTAGCTTTATCTGGCCTGTCCCTGTTTGGCTGTGACTCCATCCTGGAGAGAAATATCAGCTGTGCTGCTGCCATCAACACCCTTGTTTATTGATGTTGGAGATCAGCCTGTTTTTCAGTGTAGTCCTGTTTCTCTGACTGTGACTGGCAGGAAGTGCTCTCTTCATCCTCTGACATAGGAGCTGGCTCGGAGCTCGTCTGTCTGGTTGACAGTTGCCTTTTGTATCTATGCTTCTTTTTCTATGTCTGCTTCTGTCTCCTTGAACCCCAGTCGGCCTCTGCGTTCTGCTGGAGCTTTCTTCCTGTTAAAGGGGAGATTTTCCTCTCCACTGTCGCTATAAGCATGCTTAGGGTGAGGGATTGCTGAAGAGTCAATGAGATCAACTGGTATTCCTTAGATGAAAACTTTGAATCAATTAGACTGGATGATCTGGTGAACTGTAAAGTGCATTGAGATGACGTGCTGTGAATTGACGCCATAGTAATAAACTGAATAGATGCAGTAGAAAGAAGACGTTTTATCATTGTCTCCCTTTTATCTCCTCTTTCTTTATCTTTTATCCTTTTTCCTGTTTTTCCTTTCCTGTTATTCCTACATTGCAGTGTCCATATAATCTGATACTCCCTGCATGAATTTTGATAAAGCTATTTATAAGCATAAAGCAAGCGGAACACTATGGCGAAACATTTGCATTTGGGACAATTGCAAAAAACCCGATTTTATTACAAACTGTAATTCTGCACTCCACCAGTAGGTGGTGACATTTTCAAATGAGGCTTCATGAACTGTGCGGATCATTGAAGCAATTAGCCCAAACGGTTCAATGCCTCATGAGGCTTCAGCTCACCATCACTAGAGCCCAGAAAACAGAGCCTCTGCCTCATGGATGAAACTGTATCCAAAAGTAAATTTTCCTGCAACTCTGAATTTCCCCTGAAATGTTGGAACAACTTTTCTTTTACCTGATTAAACATTAAAATAAAAATTTCAGCAGAGCCTCTCCTGTTTCAGCCACTGATATCTCCTTAAACTACGCAGCCACACGAGTTTCCTCTGTTATGGAGTTCCTGTTCCCCTCCTTATAAGGAGTGGCTACAGGCTAAAAGCCATAATTAATTACAGGATGAAGGCAGCAGTATAAATATGAACTTAGGTAAAAAAATACCAATCAGGTATTTTCTTTTGAGTAAGTAAAATCTTAAGATGAACAAAAAGATTCCAGAATCAGTGCAAGGCCAGCAGTCCACCATTGAAAGTGCTCCTTTGCCTAAGGGAGTATTTTGCACTGATGGTTAGCAGCTTAGGAGCTCATTTCTCTGCCACCTCTTTAAATGACTCCACTTCTGCTCAAAGCACAGTTAGCTTTACTAACCCGCCTGTCCAGGCAGTCAGTGTCCTCCTGATGCTGCTCCTCTAGCAGACCACGGATAAAGATGGTTCTCGTGACAACACACATGCTTAGGAGACTGTGGACCAAAGCCTCAGGACACAGAGGCTCCTTTGACCCTTTCAGTAGAGGGCAGCAGTGTTTGCTGACTGGTTCAGTCTGTCCTGCAATCTGCCCACTTAATTGAAGTTCACGGAGAGAAGAAAGAACCAGAAAAAACTTGTTAACATGGTTTGGTGTCAGCTTTTGAAGGAGGTTTTTATTTAAAGGAAAAGTCCGGTCACATTCAGAATACAAACTTCTGAAAGTGCTTTTAATATGAAATTATTACATACTGTTGAATAAATGATAAGTGTTTTTAATTAAGAGTAATTTTCATTTGAATGTGCTTTACTGGAGGCATCCATGTTTGACCATCCATGTGACGTCACGGTGCTGTTGATCAAGTCCCAGTGCTGTATCTGGTGTTTGTCACAACGCAATATTAACCGTTATGGTGGCGACCAGTGCACTATGCGAAGCAGAGAGTAACGGGTTTATAACGTCTTTTTTCTCTTGCCAGAAGTTTGATGGCAAATCCTCCATCTTCAAGTTGGCAATCCAATGACATCCAGCTGCCATGCACGTGGGCATTGTCAGTTTCACTATAGCTCTGGTGAATTTCAATGGTGAAGTCCTCTGGAAATCTTCAATAATTGTTGTTGATAGCAGATGTGTCTAGTAGTTCCCATTGATTTTGCTTGTAAAGCGGGGAGAATGGCGCTAGGCTTACCGCACCGTGACGTCACTGCTGGAAGATGGCAGGAGTGAGGTGTTACTATATTTGGGCAAAAATGGCCGCTCCTAGACTCAGTGATTTTAATTTTTTTACTAATTGATGCTAAATTTATTAAGTCACCACAAACGTATTAATTTTAGGTGTAAATAATGATCCATTGACTTCTCCTTTAAATGGTCCGCTTGTTCTGATAGCTTGGTTTTAGAGTGTTTCCTTAACATGATCTTACCGATTTGTCTAATTCCAGGAGAGCTCACAGGGTTATGAGCCTGAACCAGTCTGCTAAACTTTTTTAGTGGGGTGTCTTATTTATTTTTTTTGCAGCATTGTAACCCAGGAGAGAAAAGCACATGCTGGCTTCCTGATTATCAATGACAGGGTGCACAGAGCTTTATTTCCCTCCTTCAGTCTAGAACATTGGTTATGATCTCAGACTTTAAACACATCCTCAGTCACAGCCAGCAGCGTACATGGAGGAGTCTAAAACAACGCCTTCAGGTCGGCCTCTTATCTGTCTGTAGTAGGGAACCCTCCTCCTGAGGCTGGATGAGCTCACCAACCAGCCAGCTTGTTAGTCCCAGTTTTCTCATGGCCCATGTAGTTCTGTTTGGATGCAGTCCCTGACCCTGCCATAAGGGCTCATCCAAGGCCAGGGGAAGCTCACCCCCTACTGCAGCTGGGAAGTCTTATCTTATTTGGTATAGTATGTTAGAGCTAATTCTGAACATTTACAGGATAATGTGTGACAAACTGTCCCTAAAACAAGAAAATCATTGGAACTTGGAACAACAATGTCCTGTGCTGATCTTCGAGGTTTATTGTTGCTCTTTTTGGTTTTTAAGGAAGATCAATGAAAGCCTGAAACCAGAAGCTTCCATCAGAATCTGAGAATCTGCCATGTATTTTAAAACCTGATTGCTGCCAGTTTTAAAGCTACGTTACCCATGATGCAGCAAACCTTAAAGGTTACATGTTTCTGCATTACTGCATTTGTTTGGATGTTCTCAGATTTGCTTTCAATATCAAAAGGCTCAAATATTTTTAAAATATTAATCTATCTGATCATTTTAAACCTGTGCACACATTACTGCCACAAGTGAACAGTTGTGGCTTCAGCTCGTCTGTTCTGTTTGGCGGTTTTTCCGGTGTGGTCCTGTTTCTCTGGCTGTGACTGGCTTAATGTGCTCTCTTCATCCTCTGACATGGGACATTACAGTTGCCAGTTGAACCCCAGTCGGCCTCTGCGGTTGGCGGCTCACACTGAGCCTGCTTCTGCTGGAGGTTCCTTCCTGTTAAAAGGGAGTTTTTCCTCTCCTCTGTCACTACAAGCATGCTTAGTGTGAGGGATTGCGATCGAGTCAATGA